ACTTCGAAATCATGGAATCATGTCAACTACACACTCCAAGCATGTCGTCGTCAGACGTTCGACTTGATTTTAGTGTTCATCAAAATTGGTGCCGCATATTTTTTTTGAACGCCACACAGTTGCGACGGAATAATGCCCACTGAAGGTTTGTGGCCACCACATGTATGTCGCACTACCTTCGTGCAGCAAGGACGACGTGAATCGAACCTTTAGGTGCCCTCCTCACACTCTGTCATGAGTGCACTGTTGGACGGCTCACGTTTGCTGTTGGTGTTGTTTTCATGTTGTGGTGACCACGTGCGTTTGCTGCGTGGGTGTAGCCGTTGGCGCCACGAGCATGCATTGCGACGGAATGCCTAGCGTTGAGGCCACCACATGTCGAACGAACTTTGGTGCAGCAACTGCAGCGTGCAGCGTGTACTGCACCCCTACGTGCTATCGTCACACCCCGTCATGGATGCACTTGGCGTCGGTCCACGTTTGGTTTTGGCGTTGTTTCAAAGTTGTTGCGACCACTTGCATGCGTGCGGCACCGATCACGGATGAATTTATTTCGTTTACGGCATGTCGCTCTCCAACTCCGGCTTCACTCCAGTCCTACCAATTCCTGCTGTACCGTAGTGTACCCAAACACCCAGTTTCGCACCGGCGTACAGATAGATGCTCCCTGCAGCGTGACCTTGCTGTATACCCGCATGGAGTTCATCCACCACTACAACTTCGAACATCACGTCTGTCTGCCCACCGTTGCTGCGACAATCATGACAATTTTTTCACGTCCAATCTTTCGCACAGAACCGCTTAGATCCACTACTGCTGGCTCTACAGCGTTGCACGCCCACCGGCCCACGACAAAAACCTCGTGCTATCGCTACACCCTGTCGTGAGTGCACTTGACGACAGTTCACGTTTGGTTAAACAAGCTGGTTCAGGCAAGAAGAACAAAGTTTGTTCCTCGCCAATCCTTCGTTCGGGTTTTTCGGAGATACGTCACCAAATTTGGCACACTTGTCCAAGATCGATACCTAGCTTAACTTTTCACGAGTGGGGTACTTCGATTTTTTTTCTGGCGCACCGAACGATCGGGGTCCCGCACGTTCCTGGGACAAAAAGGCTGCGTCCTGAATATTCGGCGAAAAACAAATAGAAAAAAACCCTTCGTAGATAGTTTGGAATCGATGTTGTTGCGGAGAAGCGTGGAAAATTTGGTGACCTATCTCCAAAAAAACGAACGAAGGATTTGATTTTGTAACAGAACCTGAAATTTCCTTTGCTAACGCCTTGTTCACTTGGTTTTATACCAAAATGAGCCCTTTGGGCACATCTGTACGCTTGAATCGCCCGCTCTACCTTAGTTGCGCTCGTTGGGCAACGAAACTCTGTACACCCCTTCCACACCCTACACCGGAGCCGATCGCTTTCGATGTTTTATATTTGAGGCATACTTACCGGCTTCCGGAGGTCCTTTCCGTTAGAACCTGATAAGCCGGTAGGAGCGCGAAAGCTCTTCGTGAACAGTGTTCAAGAATATTTTTAAGGGTTCATAGCATGAATACCTGTCAAGCTACCAAATTCGGGGATGACTTATCTTTCCTCAGACATATTCGACGGCAACCGTGTCGATGCTGTCTAAGTGGTTGCTTCGTATATCCGGTGGCCATCTGACGACGCCAAAGGGCCATAACACCGGGAATCCCACCTTTTCTGGCGTAACTCGCTCCAACGGTAGCCGTTTTTACTTCTGTTTTTTTTGTTGGGTTTCCGAGAGCTCGAAGATCTTTCGAGGTTGAACTACGGCCGAAGAAGGTTCGTGTTGCATCGTTTTTTTTACTAATTTGTTCTCGAACAGCGTGAAGGCCGCTGGTTAGCTCAGACACATTTTTGCGCCTAACCCTCGCACAAAGGTGTAGAAAGGACATTCCAACTATGTCACTGTCGTGTGGTTTCAATGATGTCGCGACCGCGTGGTGCGTGTGGCATCCATCACGAACATGTACAGCAGTGTAGTTCGGCTACGTCACGTGTCGCGTGCGCTCTGCAGCACTGACTACACTCCTGCCAAACTCCTACCTCAACTACTGTGATACTGTTATGTACAACAACACGCATCTTCGAACTGTTGTACAGATGTGGCCTGTGTCAGGAAAATCGTGCGTCGAGACCACCAGTAGTCGGACACGGTTTGACCTTT